ACCATAAAATTAATTCTCTTAAAATGTATACTTCAATTATTTTTTAATACATTCACAGTGTTATACACACATCACCACTATCTAATTTAGAACATTTTCATCACCCCCAAAAGAAACCCATTAACAGTCACTCCCCTAAGATCACAGGATTTTACACTGTAATTAATGCATTTCTCTAAGATATTAAATTGAATGATATAGTTATTCGTGACTTTATACTACTTCAGATATTGTATTTAATTAGTTCAATTTTTCTCTTTTATAGTTCCTGATTTGCTTTTATTTTTATTTTATGTTGATTTTATTTTTTTCTTTAGATATTTTCCAATTTTCCTGTCAGATAATTGACTCAAGTTGTTTGCTTTGTATTTTAGTCATTTATTTTGGGACAGATGTCATTTTCTGGATAGTACAGGTCTATCTTTTCTTTCAATGATGTGTAGTTTCCTGAGGCCCTGTTAAAGCTATGGCCATCATTGCTTTCATTTCCTGCACCATAACTGGAAGCTCTCATTTACTGATGCTGTTACTGTGTGAGAATAGGGGCTAATTTATTTCCCAGGCACTGATTTAAAACAAGCTTTAATAGTAGTTCAATTTTGCAATTATGATTTTTCTCAACACAAAGAAGAGTAAAACAGACACAACGAAAAGAGGGTAGGAGAAAGAGGGGGAGGAAAGGATAGGGAAAATTGCGTTAAAATTCTGTCACAGGCACACAGAGAAAATTCAATGTCTCATTTGTGCTTTTTTAAAAGATCTGTATTATAATATAATTAACATTCAATATTATATAAATTTCAGTTATTCAGCATTAATATACCTAAAGTAGTGATCACCATGATAAAAGCAGCAACCATCTGACACCATACCACACTACCACAATATTATTAACTATATTGCTTATGCTGTATATTACATCCCCGTGACTTATTTGTTTTATACCTGGAAATTTGAACCTCTTATTCTCCTTTACCTTATTTCCCCCTTTTTGAAATTTTTCAAGTATAGTTGGCATTCAATATTATTTTATATTAGTTTCAGGTGTACAGAATAGTGGTTAAACATTTATATAATTTACGAAGTGATCCCCCTGACTAGTTTAGTACTCACCTGGTACCATACATCGTTATTACCACATTATTGCTATATTCCCTGTACTTTACTTTTACATCCTCATGACTGTTTCGTAACTACCAATTTGTATTTCTTAATCCCTTCTTCTGTTTTACCCTACCCCTCCAACCCCCCTCCCATCTGGCAACCATCACCTTGATCCCTGCCTCTATAAGTCTGTTTCTGTTTTGTTCATTCATTTATTTTGTTCTTTAGTTTCCACATATAAATGAGATTATATGGTATTTGTCTTTGCCTGTCTGACTTGTTATACTTAGTGTAACACCTTCCAGGCCCATCCAAGTTGTCACAGGTAGTAAGATTTTATTATTATTTTTTTTACGGCANAAAAAAAAAGGTGCAAACACTATTGACATCCTTAAAAGAAAACTGAGAGAAAAGATAAAATATCTTACCTATGAAATAGAAAACCCAATATTGAGTTATCTTATTCATTGTGCACATGAAGAATATTTAGTACATTATTAAAACCACCCTTCATTCATCCAAGCCTTTATAACACTTTGTAATCGGTTATGCATAATTGCAACTTACGGCTTTTCTGTTGTGTTTCCAGCACAGTGATGCGGTCCATGATCTCCTTCTGGATGTGATCACGTGGGTTGGAATTTTGCTGTCCCTGGTTTGTCTCCTGATTTGCATCTTCACATTTTGCTTTTTCCGCGGACTCCAGAGTGACCGTAACACCATCCACAAGAACCTATGCATCAGCCTCTTTGTAGCAGAACTACTCTTCCTGATTGGGATAAACCGAACTGACCAACCAGTAAGCAACTTACATCAATATTCTCCCCTCCCAGCTGTCCAATACTGGAAAAACTCATGTTTGAACACACCCTTTCTTCCAGTTATCTAAGATAGATACTAATTTTCAGATCTTACTCAGTTTCTCCCTTTTCATGTCCCCTTATCATAAAGAAGCAGTTTACGTTGTGGATATATGAATGTATATTTCTTCAGAAATCCTGTTTATAAACTTACCTTTCTAAAGAACTGTGTCTCTTCTTTTGTTTTTTTTCTTTTTTTCCTCTTTTAAAAATTACAGAGGTGAATATTGAGAAAAGTTAAATAAAATTATTTGGGGAATGGAGGAGTATCTGTTTCAACAGATAAAATTGTTATTTTTCGAAGTTTATAATAAGCTTTGTTTCAAAATGAGTAATGTTATATTAAAAACTGCATGTCTAAAATGACTTTTTCTAATTGACATATTTTAGAAAATAGTTCAAACTGGATGTCATTTTTAGAATATATAACTCTTCCCTAATTTAATTTGACACTTTATATTTGCTCAAGTTCTGTTCACATCTTTAAGTGTCAACTTTATGCTTTACCATTAACTACATTTATCGTAGTAAGAAATAAAGGAAGGGAGGGAGGAAGGAAATGAGAGGGAAAGAGAAGGGGGAAAAGGAACTGTACTAGCTAACTGTTCTTGGTAAAAACAAGCAGAAAATATGAATAACAGATAATATTTAGTATATGGCAGACTATTCCCAGTTACAATTTTTGTGAGGCCCTTTTTTGTTTACTTAAGATTCAGGCACATAATGTCAGTTTGTTCTCATGAGTAAAACCACCAATGAAAAAACTTTTTTTAGAAAACTTGTAGCCATAGTAAATAATTCATTCTCTTAATGCTGTTTTCTGGTATGTGTCCATATGTATGGAGCTCTTTACAATAAAAGTTAAGTTCAGTTGGATTCGTGTTTGTGATCACACATTCATGATTAATGCCTGTAAAGGGTACAATTATGGTGATTATACTTTTAGTTTGTTATCATATACAAATGTGACAGCTTTTCCCATAAATACATGCATATGAATAAGCAATCAAAGTGCACATTTATTTCCCTCCAAAAGTAAAGCCTTCTGATAAGAAAAAATTAATAGTTGAAGCTCTAACTCTGAAAAGCAAGAAATGGAAAACTGTGTTATTTTCCAAAAATAAATCATTCCATTCTCTTTTTAACCTGAAATTCAAACACTGTGTGATTTCTTTTCATTTAGAAACGTCATTCTTATTTTTGTTTCCTGATGGTACACACAGTGTGGTAAACTTCACCAAATGTTGCATGCTGCACAAAACCAGTTTCTGACAAATAGCATAAATAACAATGATGGATGTGAAAACCTGGGGTAGAGTGCAGTTCAGCCCACCTTGCCCAAGTCTTAGTGCTGGACAGGTGTCCTCTTCCTGCATCTCACACGCTGGGGAGGCTCTGCTTGCCCTCTAGCCCTCTCATATTTGACTTCTTCATCTCACCCTCATTGTCATCTCTCTAACCCAAAGAAATTGACCTGCTCTTTCATCATTTCTCAAACATCATACTCATCACTGGATCCGTACTAATCTGATAATTTCTGTAAATAGCCTCCCCCTTTCTAGCAGGAGCTATAGATTTTAGTTAGGACTTACAAAAAATAAAGACCCTAAAGGAGTGAGAATTTCAGAAACTGACATGAGAAAATTAATATATGGTCAGCTCAAACTTGTAGTACCTTATAAAATATGCCAGAGAAAGTAGTTCAAACTGTTTTGAACTGTTCGCTGCCTTTTTTTGACCAAACTTGTCTAGACCAACATTTAGTACAATAACAAAAAATTGAGATAGAGAAAGCACTTTGGGACACTTTGTTTTAATCAGATCTACTTTTACACCTATGCAGTGTGAATTTCCTAATCCCACCTTAGATCTTTTCTGAAACAAGGCAGGGAAGAAATTAATAATAATAATAATAATAATAATAATAATAATAATAATTCCATCATACAATACTGTAATTAATTATATTACTTAATTTTAACTTCATTCTTGGTTTTAATATTTGCCTTTCATTTATAACTAAAGAACTTAATGTGTTAGTACAGACATGATAATTGCCAAGAGAAAAAATTCCCGAGATATATTTTAAAATCTTTACACTAATCTCAGCAATAGTTATCAATAGGCTCTTAGAACTTTTTCCTAAATGTTGTTATCTTTATTATAATGTTACATTGTCATTCATAAACCATCACTAATAAAATGTTAAATGTAGTTTTCAAAGATAGGTTATATTTAATTGGGTTTTCACATCTGAACTTTAAAAATCTTGTCTAGATTATTGTTTTGCAGACCTAATTTGTTTTTTGTTTTTACTGCATTCTTGATAAATATTTATTTTAATTTTGTGGCAGTTGATATATCTCACTTAGTAGTTATTTTACTAAATCATTTGTCCTTTTCCTAGATTGCCTGTGCAGTTTTTGCCGCACTCTTACATTTCTTCTTCTTGGCTGCCTTCACCTGGATGTTCCTGGAGGGCGTGCAGCTCTATATCATGCTGGTGGAGGTTTTTGAGAGCGAACATTCACGTAGGAAATACTTTTACCTGGTCGGCTATGGCATGCCTGCGCTCATTGTGGCCGTGTCAGCTGCAGTAGACTACAGGAGTTATGGAACAGATAAAGTGTGAGTTTATGTTTTCTGT